AAAGATAATCACAACAGGAGATGGATTTCTAAGTCAAGATAATCAGAACAGATGTTTTTAAGTAATATTAATCACAACAGGAAATATAGTTTTAATTAAAGATAATCACAACAGGGAATGCATTTTATATTTTTGTATAAAGATAATCAAGCAGGAGATACATTTTTAAGTAAGAATAATTACAACAAGATATACATCTTTAAGTAAATATAACCACAACAGGAGATACATTGTTACATAAAGATAAGATAATCACAACAGAAGATGTATATTTTGAAGTATAGATGATCACAAAAGGAGTTACATTCTTTAATAAAGAAAGACACAACAGGAGATGTATTTTAAATATAATTATAACAGGAATTGGATTTTTCAGTAAATATAATATTAGGGAATATATTCCAGATAAAGATGATTACAAACGGAGATATATCTTAAGGAGAATCACAAGAAATGCAGTATAGTAAAGTATAGTAAATATAACACACAGGAAATGCATTTTTGGATAAAGGTAACGACATCAGGCAGAATATATATATAATCACAACAGCTGTATTTTTAAGTAATCACAACAGGTAATGTATTCTAAGTTAAAATCTCATTTTTGGATAAGGTAACGACATCAAACGATACATATTGTTAAAATCACAACATTTTCAAAGTATAGATAATTGTAACAGAAACATAATCACAAAAAGTAAGAAAACTTTAATATTAAGAAAATAGGAAACTTCATTATTAAGAACAAAAGGAAACTTTATTATTAAGAAGGAAAATGTCATTATTAAGTATAGATCATTACAACATGAAATACCTCATATAAGTAAACATAACACGTAAAAACTTTTACATACGCGAAGATATTCAACAATAAAAAATACGAATTTGAAAAGAAAGTCAAGCATTTTCTTTCATGCCATATAAGGAAAGAAAAGAAAGGGGAAAAAAGGGGCATTTTCCTTCGTGCCAAAATATAGGGGAAAAAAGCGAGGAGGAAAAAAAGAATAGAAAGGGGAAAAAAATATAACCCGCTTTCTTACCTACGTAACGTACGCCTGGCAGCGGAGTTACACCGTCTTTCCGCGCCAGTTGTCTCGAAGTTATAACGGTCATAACCGCTCTCACGGGCTTTCAGGATTTAAAAAAAGGGAATCAACTCTCAAGTATGTGACCTCAGGACGCTGTTTCAGACACTTGCATTTTGCAGATTTACATGTCGCGAAGTTTGTCGCTGTTTTTATTGCAAAAAAGAGTAATGGGATTGTACATTTGGCTGCTAAGATGAAACTGTCGCCGGAAGTGTGTGTCGCCACGTGGCATTCAAAAGGAAATTTGCATATTTTGTAAACTGGATAATATGCAAACTAAGCTGTTTCGCTATTCCGAGTGCGCGTCGGAGGAGAGTAGTTAGCTAACTGTGCTAACTGAGTGTATGAGAGAGAGAGAGAGAGAGAGAGAGAGAGAGAGAGAGAGAGAGAGAGAGAGAGAGAGAGAGAGAGAGAGGAGAGAGAGAGAGAGAGGAGAATTAGACAGGAGAGAGAGAGAGAGAGAGAGAGAGAAGAGAGAGAGGAGAGAGAGAGAGAGAGAGAGGAGAGAGAGGAGAGAGAAGAGAGAGAGAGAGATAGAGAGAAGAAAGAGATGAGAGAGAGAGGAGAGGAGAGAGAAAAGAAAGAGAGAGAGAGGAAAGAAAGAGAGAGAGAAAACAGAGAAAGAGAAAGAAAGAGAGAGAAACAGAGAAAAAAGAAAGAGAAAGAAAAAAGTCAGAGAGAAAAAACCCGTAAAATGACGAATGTTAACGCCATCTATCCCCGAAACTCCCTGACACGACGCACATGTATCAAAAAAAGCTTTAAATGAACTTAAAAAAAAAGAAAAAAAAAAAATCATCAGTCGGCACCAGCGAGGCAAGCATTTGTTGCCGCTATAAAAAAAAAAGAGAAAAAAAAAAAAGAATCCATATTGGAAAAGGAAACTGATAAAAGCGATCGCATAAATCATGGGAGCGCATCTTCCGCCAAGGGATTCTAGACCTAATGTCGATCTCGTGTTCAGGAGGTCTTAATCGACGATATTTTTCAGAAGACTTTTCTCCCTCCCGCGCGCCTCCTTAGTGGGGTGGGGGTGGGGGGTGGGGGAAGGGGGAGGGAGGGTTAAGAGAGGAGGAGGAAGAGGTAGAGGAAGAGGGGAGGAGGGGGAGGTGAGAAGGGGAGGAGGGAAAGGGGGGGAAAGAAGGAGGAGGAGGAGGGAAAGGGAGGAGGAGGAAGGGGGAGGGATGAGGGGGGAGGAGGACGAGGAGAGGGGGAGGTGGAGAGGGGGAGGTAGAGGAGGAGGAAGAGGAGGAGGAGTGGGGGAGGAGGGGGGAGGGGGGAGGGGAGGAGGTGGAAGGAGGAGAAGGGGAAAGGGAGGAGGAGAGGGAAGGAGGGGAGGAGAGGTGGAGGAGGAGGAGGGGAGGAGGAAAGGGGGAGGAGGAGGGGAGGTGGAGAGGGGCGAGGAAGAGTAGGGGAAAGGGGGAAGGTGGAGAGGAGAAGGGGAGGAGGAAAAGGGAGGAGGTGGAGGAGGAGGAGGAGGAGGAGAGAGGACGAGGAGGAGGAGGAGGAGGAGGAGGAGGAGGAGGAAAGGGGGGGGGGGGAGGAGGAGAAGGAGGAGGAGGGGAAGGGAGTGGAGGCGAGAGGAGGAGAAGAAGAAGAAACAGAAAAAAAAGAAGAGGAACAGCTTACAATCAGAACATAAAAGAGGCAAATGTAAATATTCCCCACGTGTGTTTGCGTGTGTGCGTGTGTGTGTGTGTGCGTGTGTGTTTGCGTGTGTGTGTGTGTGTTTGCGCGTGTTGTTTTGTATGTGTGTGTTGCGTGTGTTTGCATGCGGTTGTGTGTGTGTGTGGTGTGTGTTTGCGTGTGTATTTATGTGTGTGCGCGGCGCGTGGTGTGTGTGTGTGTTTGCGTGGCTAGTATATATGTGTTGTGTGAAGACCGCTGAAGAAGGAAAACCCGAGGAAAGACGAGGTTAGACGAGAAACCTTTTGAACGAGTCTTTGTCTAAGCGAACACGTGCTCTCCATCAGTCCTAATATAGGTCCGGCAAACACCATTCTGTCTCTCGGGAAAATGTTTACACGAGGTGATTCGGATGAGTTCGGGTCTGATGCCTTGTCGAATATTTTAGTGGAAGAACATGGTTGTGGGGAGGTGCGTGAGGCTCCTTGGTGAGGAACGCTCCTTCCCCAGTGTGTTTGTGTTGTGTGTGTGTTTTGGTTTGTGTGCGTGTTTGAGTGTGTGTGTTGTGTTGTGTGTGTGTTTGTCTTTGTGTCGGTGTGAGTTGGTGAAGTGTTGTGTGTGTGGTTTTTTGTGTGGTGTGTCTGTGTGTGTTTGTGTGTGTGTGTGTGTTTTGTGTGTGTGTGTTTGTGTGCGTGCGTGTGTGTGTGTGTGTTTGGTGTGCATGTGGTGTCTGGTGTGTGAGGCTCCTTGGTGAGAACGCTCCCTTCCTGATTTGTGTGTGTGTGTTTGTGTGTTGTGTTTGTGTGTTGTGTGTGATGTGTTTGTGTTGTGTGTGTTTGAGTGTGTTTGTGTGTGTTTCTGTTTGTGCCTGTGTTTGGTCTGTGCCTATGTATGTTCGCGCATATGTATGTGCATGTGTACCACCCGTCCATAAGCCTGTACATGGAATCAAAAACCTCCCAAAACTGAACAAAAAGGAACGACCAACTTTTCCCCTGCTGAGAAACGCGTAGCAAGGGAAACCTGGGGGTAAGTCCTATCTCACCGACGCACAGTGAAATTGAATCCCGACCCCCCCCCCCCCCCCCCGCGCTGCCCTGAAATATCCCGTATAATGTCTTACTAAGAGATGAAGGACTTGTGTGAAAGGTGAGGCGAAAGAAAGGGAGGAGAGGAGAGAGAGAGGAAGAGAGAGAAGAGAAGAGAGAGAGAGAGAGAGAGAGAGAGAGAGAGAGAGAGAGAGAGAGAGAGAGAGAGAGAGAGAGAGAGAGAGAGAAGTGAGTGAGTGAGTGAGTGAGAGTGTAAGTGAGTGAGAGACAGATACAGAGATAGGTACAGAGACAAAGACAGACAGATAGATAAATAGAAAGATAGTCATACAGATAGATAGACAGAGAAAGAGATACGTTAATAACTAGTCTCAGTATTCCGAGAATTCCTAGTCCGCGAGTGTATAAAAAAAAACGACGCCGCACCCTGCTTTGTCCAAACACACACGCCAGAACACACACACACACACTCAAACTCATCCGTATTCCTCATTAACAAAGAGAACCAAAAATGCAAACGATCCATCATGCTATATTGCTCTTCCCTTCCCTTGATAAAAAAAAAAGGAACTACCTTCGGACTTTTCATTTTCTGAAACATTCAACTTTTATGACGTCAAAAGTCGCTGCCAACTTTGCCAATAATCAGAGACAGCTGTGAGAACTGATCGTTTAGATGGGCGATTAACGTAGACTGCCTCTGTGTCTCTCTCTGTCTCTGCCTCTGTCTCTCTGTCTGGTTCTCTATCCCTCATCTTCTTTTTCCTCTGTCTCTGCCTCTCTCTGCCTCTGTTGTTGTCTCTGTCTGTCTGTTTGGCTCTCTATCTGCCTCTGTCTCTGATTTCTTTCTTTCTCTCTATTTTCTTTCTTTCCCTCTTCTTTTTTCTCTTTCTCCGTCTCTCTCTTTCTCTCTGTCTCTCTCTCTCTCTCAGTCTTGTTATTCATTTTTCTTTCTTATTTCCAAGGTCCTTTTTGAAAAATGCCATGTTTTTGTTTCAGGTGAATTCAGTATGTATTTGTGATTCTTGCCTTGTAACTATTTCTTTCTTTATTTATTGGATAATAACAAAATGCATGAAATATCGCAGTTTATCTTCATAAAAAATTACTTTGTTCAGAGATGAATTTACCTCCAGCTTCAAGTCCCACCGAATTCACACAGAAGAGCTTCTCGAACGACACTACGACATCCCTCGTGTAGACTTGATGGCTTCTTCGAGTAACACGAGTCCGTTCCTCTCCCTCTCCATCAGCGCTTATGACCTCGTTCCTTTTGCCAGACCTGCGAGAGGATTTTCGGAAGTCGCCCTCCAGCGTCGACGTGCCGGAAGGAAAGACGGCTGTGTTCGAGTGTGAGCCTCCAAAGGGTCACCCGATTCCCGTTGTCACTTGGAGACTGGACGGAGAGGACCTGACTCTCCCCAGGCACAGGTGAGGAGGCCTAGTCACCTGTAATTAATGAAAAAAACATCAAAACATCAACATTTTGGTCACAGGATAAAAATATTCACCATTTTTAAGGTACGTAAAGTGATGTAGTCGTTGGGTGCTGGATAGACGTAACTTTAGACATAGTTTTATCTCAACTGACTTCACTCCCTGTCAACAATTGGTGCAAAAAAATCCAAAGAAAAACAGCATACGAAACCATCTTACATATTCCATGACCAACTCTGGATATAACTTTTATGCATGTACCTCTTACTCATGCATATTTGCCATGAAGTCGATACGGCATATTTACAGACAGAACCAATACTTGTTTATTTGTGGTGCGCGTCTGCTTACGATCGTCTTTGTTGACGGAACGCTCGTATCAATTGCCAGAGGCTGGGATTACAATCACGTAAGTGGGGACTAAAGAGGATTAAGGAACTGGGGATTGAGATGGAAACGGGAATGGGATGCGGACGGGGTGGAGGGGGAGATGGGAAGGAAACAGCTGATGGGGATAGAGGTTGAAATATATATATATATATTATTTATATATATATATATATAATATATATAGTATATAGTTATATATGTGTGTGTGTGTGTGTGTGTGTTGTGTGTGTGTGTGTGTTGTGTGTGTGGTGAGTGTGTGTGTGTGTGTAAGAGAGAGAGAAAGATAGAGATAGATAGATAAAGAGAGAGATAGAGATAGATAGAGAAAGAAAAAAGGCAAAGAAGGAAGGAGAGAGAGGAACGAGGAGCACGAAGAAGAAGAGGAGAGCTGGAGAGAAGAGTGAGGGAGGGAGGGAGAGGAGAAAAAGACAGAGTGAGAGAGAAAATTGAGGAAGAGAGAGAGAGGCAGGGAGAAAGGGAAAGACAGTGGCAAATAGAGAGGGTTCAGAAGAGGGATGGATTGAGGGAGATAGAAAGGGAGGGCGGATAGGAAGGAAGGATATAAAAATAGAAAGATGGAAGGAGAGAAAATGAGAGAGAGAGAGAGAGAGAGAGAGAGAGAGAGAGAGAGAGAGAGAGAGAGAGAGAGAGAGAGAGAGAGAGAGAGAGAGAGAGAGAAGAGAGATCACATGCACAAGAACTTAGACATAAACAAAGAGATAGTGAGACATGATAATTTTTTCGACGTCAACACATCATAACTGTAGACATCAACAACACAATCATTATGGTCTTATTCAACAAAACAGACTTTGTTATATCATATACGTTAAAAATTCTACATTAGCGTTATATTCGCCATCTATGTACATTTCTTTAAAGGGACATTAATGGTTAACACAAAGGAAGTCTGTTTTCCGACAGAAATTTTCTCGCTTCAACCCCTTAAGTGCACTAAAGGGGTTATTACACTTATATACCTCAAACACCCTTAAATTCCTCTTATTATGCATTATGTTTCTTCCTTCTTTATCTGATGTTCCTCTCCCCTTCTTTTATTTCCTGATCTTTCCCCCTTCCTGTTTAATTTATTTTTCCCTTCCTTCTCATATTTCTCAAGTCCTTCTCTCGTTTTCTTCTTCCCTGGTTCTCTATATATCCTCTCTCCCCTCTTTCTCCTCCTCTTTACTTACCTTATTCAGTCAGGCAGAGGCACGGAGGTTTTGTTTGGTGGACCTCAATGCTAAGATCGGGTAGTGTGTTGTTTGGTTTTAAGTATGTAAGGCTGTGTTGTGTTTTTCTCTAGTTCTATCCATATTGTGATTGTTTGAATGTCTCTGTCTGTCTGTCTGTCTCTTTCCCTCACACAAGCATACGAACTCTTTTCTCTCCTCTCTCTCCCTCTCTCCTTCCTCACACACGCACACGGACTTTCCTCCTCCCTCCTCCTCTCTCTCTCTCTCTCTCTTTCTCTCTCTCTCTTCTCTCTCTCTCTCTCTCTCTCTCTCTCTCTCTCTCTCTTCTCACACACACACACACACACACACACACACACACACACAACACACACACACACACACACACACACACACACACACACACACACACACACACACACACGCATTAACATCATCCAACAGCTTAACAAGCGATTCGCGAGACCTGCAGTTATATCTGCTTAGCTACACCACGTTTCCTCAGAGACTATCACGTGCTTCCCATAAAACAGCTCCCTTGGGTTATTAAATCGAGAACCGACAGACAGACATTACCTCTCCCTGTATACTCCAGTTTCACTCATTATAGATTAATAGCCGCTTACATTACTGTGTAAACATTTGGAATTTGAAAGCGCCCTCTGTGTCGGCACGTCGGTATATATAGAGTGAGGACTGAGTACATCGTCATTGAAGAACCTTTCATTAATTGAAACGTTACGGCTCGATAAACAGAAATATTCGAAGAATCTGAGAAATGAAATGAATTAGATCTTTTCCTGGATAACGAACCAGAACAAATACTAATTTTCCAAAAGGAGGAGACGATTATTTACCATTGGAAGAGCCTGATGGAGGAGGTTAGCTAGAACACCACTTGTGAATTATTCCTTCAGCGTTTTCAATAATGGATTAAGAGCGTAACGGATTATTCAGAAACTTTGGTTGTTTTCGATTTGTTTGGCTTTTTTTTAAAGTTTGTTAAATCTGATTTTTCTTCTTGTATATTTGGTTGTTTTCGATTTTTTTTTTTGAGAAGTTTGTTAAATCCGGTTTTTCTTCTTATATATTTTCTCGTTTCCTAAAAGACAAGAACCGCCAAGCTTAAGACTGGAAATAATAATGATAATAATAATAATAATAAAAATGATGATGGTAATGATAATAATAATAATAAAAATGATGATAATGATAATGATAATTATGATAATAATAATTATGATAATAATACTAATAGTAATGAGGATAATAATAATAATGATAAGGATGATTATGGTTATTATTATTATCATCATTATCATTATTATTATTATCATTGTTACTATTATTATTGTTATCATTATTATTATTGTTATTATTATTATCATTATTACTATCATTATTATTATTAATGATAATAATAATAATAATAATAATAATAATAATAATAATAATAATAATAATAATAATAATAATAATAATAATAATAATAATATAATAATAGTAAAATGATGCATATAAGCGTGAAGGGAGAATGATCACCTAATGCCGGGGTCCCTGATTATCCCGCCTCGAGAAACTACTCAACCTGCAAGTCCTCAGCCGGCATTTTCTCACAGCTGAAATCAAGAGAGAGAGAGAGAGGGAGAGAGAGGGAGGGAGAGAGAGGGGGGGGGAGAGGGAGGGAAGGGGAGAGGGGAGGGAGGGGGAGAGGGAGGGAGAGGGAGGGAGGGAAAGGGAGGGGAGGAGAGAGGGAGGGAGGGAGGGAGGGGAGGGGGAGAGAGAAGGAGGGAGGAGGAGGGAGGGAGGGAGGGGGTGGAGAGGGGAGAGGGAGGGAGGGAGGGAGGGGAGGGAGAGAGGAGGGAGGGAAGGAGAGGAGGGAGGGAAGAGAGAGGGAGGGAGAGAGAGAGAGAGGGGAGAGAGAGAGAGAGAGGAGAGAGGGAGAGAGAGAGAGAGAGAGAGAGGAGGAGAGAGAGAGAGAGAGAAAAAAAATAATTTCATATATTTTTTACCTCTCTTCTTTTCAACGAATCGAGAATGCATTTTTGTCTTAAATCGAGGGAATGAGAGCTGGAGAAATACGACTCCATAATTTTCCACATTCTTCGTGAATAATTTCATAATTTCATAATTTCTCATTCTTTCATGATTTCAGAGTTTCAGAGTTTCCTAATTCCCGATTCTTTCATAATTTCATAGTTTTCAGTTTCATAACTTTCATTCCCATAATTTCATAGTTTCATAAAATTTATACAGTAGTCTCAGTTTTCATAATTCCCCATTCTTTCATTTCTTCAGCATTCTTTCAAGTTTTTCATAGTTTTCAGTCTCAGTTTTTCATAATTCCCCATTCTTTCATAATTTATAGTCGCAGTTTTTCATGATTCCCCATTCTTTCATAATATCACAGTCTCAGTTTTTCATAATTCCCCATTCTTTCATAATTTATAGTCTCAGTTTTTCATGATTCCCCATTCTTTCATAATTTATAGTCTCAGGTCTCAGCAGTCGCAGTTTTTCATAATTTTCTGAGTCTCAGTTTTTTCATAATTCCCCATTCTTTCATTCTTTCAATTCCCCATTCTTCCACAATTTATAGCCTCAGTTTTTCATAATTCCCCATTCTTTCTCTCTTTGTTAATGTCTCTATTAGTAAATCAACTTTTTTGTTTGTTTTTGTATCGAGAATGTATCTTTATATATCAAGCGATTGTGATGTATCAGGCTTTATCATATAAGTTGTAAATCACTCTTATATGACGATTAAAATGTCAGCTGAATAAATTTGTTATTGATATTAGCGGTGACTTAAATATTAATGATCGTATTGGATTTGTTTTTTTAATGTGCCTTTTTCAGCGTCTGTGGTGTACCGGATATGAGAATTAAATGTCACTAATGAAATGCAATATAGGTTATTAATATTCGTTGTGAAATTAACGTTGATATTTTATAGGCTTTAAATATTCTTGTTTTTTTAGAGAAACTTTTTTCTGTGTTTATGACGTATCGGGTTGTATTAGCTGTGAATTAAATATTAATCAAATATTAATGATTGTATCTGATTATTTTTTGATGAAAATGTGCCTTTTCTAGCGTTTGTGATGTACGTTAATAACATGGCTTAATTTTTTTTTGTTTTTGTTGATAAAACTCTCCTTTTTTCATTGTGATGTATCGGGTTTTGTATTCAAATTTGCATATAACTCGAATATGGTAATAAAATAATACTCACTGAATATAACACGGCTTATCAATATTAGTTGTGAATATAACGTTAATAACCTGTTAGCTGTACAGGTAACCTTCTCGTTGATGAAGTACAGTACTTTTTTTATGAATTGTACAACACCTTTCTTTAAAAAGTCTCCTGAATCAACAGAGTTCAGCTAAATTGGGTAAATGTCTCGCTATTTTTTTCGTGGATTTTTTTTGCAAACGTATTTAATTTGTTCTATAAATATACCTTCGTTTCTATTTTTTTTTTTCTTTCTATGTCTGTACGTCATATATGCATAAAGGTACACGTATACGCACATACATACGCACAGGTATACATTCACAGATATACACGCATACACACACACATACACATACACACACACACACACACACACACACACACACACACAGTCACATACATACATACACACACACACACGCCCCTACTCTCTCCAGCCTGAAGCAGAACGTAAGAGAATAATGAAAAGTAAAAAAAAAAAAAAAAAAAAAAATCCTTCGTTTTTTCGTTCACTTAGATTTCAAAAGCCATAAAAAAATTTAAACGTAAATTTACATTTTACGCTTTTCATTTTACGTTTTCCATTGTGGGTGAAGTCAATAATATCACGCCCGACTGTTTTGCTTTTTTTTACCTTCGTTGTCTAGATTTCGCGGTAGAGAGGAGAGGAGGAGGAGGCAGGAGGAGGAGGAGAGGAGGGAGAGGAGGAGGAGGGAAGGAGGAGGAGAGGAGGAGGGAGGAGGAGGAGGAGGAGAGGAGGAGGAGGGAGGGAGAGGGGAGGAAGGAGGAGGAGGAGAGAAAAGGAGGAAGAGGAGGAGGAGAGGGAGGAGAGGAGGAGGAGGAGGAGGAGGAGGAGGAGGAGGAGGAGGAGAGGAGAGGAGGAGGAGGAGGAGAAGAAGGAGGAGGAGGAGGAGGAGAGGAGAAGGAGGAGGAGGAGGAGGAGAGAAGAAGAGGAGGAGGAGAGGAAGAAAAGGAACAGGTGCTCCGCATATCATTTTGAAAGTTTTATTTTGATCTTCATATATGATATATATATATATATATATATATATATATATATATATATATATATATATATATATATAGATAGATAGATAGATAGATAGATAGATAATATAGATATAGATATAGATAGATATATATGCATACATATATATATATATATATATATATATATATATATATATATATATATATATATATATATATATATATATATATATTATATATATATATATATATATATATATATATATATATATATTATATATATATATATATATATAATATATATATATATATATATATATATATATATATATATAGACATATATATTATTAATCAAAGTTGTTGTGTGTGCTTTGTTTGGAGCTAATCTGGAGATATTTGTCTATTTATTTATGTGTGTATATATATATATATATATATATATATATATATATATATATATATATATATATATATATATATATATATATATATATATATAACATAAATAAATAGACAAATATCTCCAGATTAGCTCCAAACAAAGCACACACAACAACTTTGATTAATTCATAACCTCGCCTCGGACGAAACTGACCTCGGGGTCGAACCCTTCTCAGCTCCAGCATATGAATGTAGGTCACCCGCCCACGCCCCGCCCACACCCCCCACCCACCGCCCACCCCCCCCACCCCTCCCACCCCGTCCCCCCACACTCCCCGACCACCCCGCCTTCCACCCCGCCCCCCGCCCCCCCCCCCCCTCCGCCCGCCGCCGCCGCATCCCCCGCCCATCCCCCGCCCACCCCGCCCGCCACCCCCCGCCACCCTCAACCCACCCACGCCACGCCCCGCCCACCCGCCCACCCCCCGCCCACCCCGCCCACCCCCCACCCATCCCCGCCCACTCCCGCCCACCCCCGCCCAGATTCATTATTACATGGCTTCCGCTGGCAGTATTATGAGGAGGGATGTCGTCTGTATCTTCTTAACTAGTGGTGTATGTATGTTGTTGTATGCTATGTATGTTTTTAAACTGTTCGTGTATGTGTGTGTTGTGTGTATCTTCAAACTAATGGTGTATGTTGGTGTTGTGTGTTATGTGTGTTTTAGACTGTTCGTGTATGTGTGTGTTGTGTGTATCTTTAACTAATGGTGTATGTTTGTGTTGTATGCTACGTGTATTTTATTCGTGTATGTATGTGCTGTATGTTGTATGTCTCCTAATGGTGTATGTTGGTGTTGTGTGCTATGTGTGTTTTATTCCTGTATCTATGTGTTGGTGTCTCCTAAACTAATTGTGTATGTTTGTGTTGTGTGCTATGTGTAATTTAAACTGTTCGTGTATGTGTGTGTTGTGTTGTGTGTATCCTTAACTAATCGTGTGTGTTTGTGTTGTATGTTGCGTGTAGTCAAAACTATTCGCGCATGTGTTGTATGCTGTGTGTATCCTAAACTGATTTTATATGTGTGTATCCTTAACCAATCATGTATGTTTGCGCTGTATGTTGTGCGTACTCTATACTATCCGTATATATGTTGTATGTTGTGTATATTTCAAACTATGCGTGTATATATTGTATATTACGTATACCCAAAACAAATCATGTATGTAAATTTACATATGAATACAGACACTCTGTACGCATTACTAACCGTGTATGTACGTGTGCGTCTGTGTACGTACAGATACCGACAGGAGGGCTCGACGTTGCTGGTGAGTCACGTGGTTCCTGCTGACGAAGGAGAGTACCAGTGCGTGGTGACCAACATGGCGAACCAGAGGGTGTCTCCGGCGGCCATTCTCACGGTCTTTGGTGAGTAAGGGGGTCGTCTGAAGGGGAATCAAGTTTTTTTGTTTTGTTATTCCTTCTCATTGTTATTATCCTCATCCTTATCCTTCAGTTATTCAGTTATTCCTCCTCCTCCTCCTTCCACCCTTCTTCCTCCTCTTCTTATTCCTTCTCAATCATCTTTCTCCTCTTCCTCATCCTTTCCTTTTCAATGTCTTCCTCCTCCTCCTCCTCATCCTCTTCCTACTCAATGTCTTCCTCCTCTTTCCTACTCAATGCCATCCTCTTCCATCCTCATCCTTCTACCCTTCTTCCCTCCCTTCCACTCCTCACCCTAATCGTCCTCATCCTTCCACTCCTCCTCCTCCTTCTCATCCTTCCATTCCTCCTCCTCCTTCTCATCCTTCCGCTCCTCCTCCTCCTTACATTCTTCCTCCTCCTCATCATCATTATCTTTATCGTCGTCATTATAAGCATTGCTATCATCATCATCATCACTATTATTCTTTGCGCTAAAATCATTACCATAAACGTTATTATCACTATTCTTCTTATTATTTTTTCTTCTTCTTCCTCACATTATCCTTAAAATTCTTATTATCCGTATTTGTATCAGTAATATCATCTGATTTCGCTCCCAAAAGAATCACAGATTTCTCTCAACATCAACATTTCCTAAAGTTATCTTCCAACATTCTAAATTATGCTCTTGGAAATCTTTGCCTCTTCAATATTCGATATATATCAGGGTGCAAATGGTATTTCATCCTTCTGATAATTCCGGTCTATTTCGAAGCAATTTTGTCAAAGAATGGGAAAAAAATAAGTGAACATGAAAGGAATGTTAATAAAAGAATGGGAAGGAAAATAAATCAAAGGAATATTAATTAATAACATACAATGTTTTTTTTTTTTTATGCACGGATAAATACCTTTTCAATCTTCTATACATTTCAGATTACCAATAATAATTCCAATCCTTTTCGAAACAATAAAGAAAAAGACGAACATAAAAGACATATTAATCACACATAAATACAATTTTCATATATGATTAAATCCCCCCCCCCTTTTTTTAGTGTTTATTGCCAATAATATCTGATATGCATGAGGTCTCTGTCTCCTCCTTCGCTTTGTTTATACAAGAGATGTTGGCACCACAAGACATGTTGGCACCACAAGACATGTTGGCACCACAAGACATGTTGGCACCACAAGACATGTTGGCACCACAAGACATGTTGGCACCACAAGACACTCAATCTCTCGATCTATATTCATTGGTCTTTGCATACAGTAGAGTGTTACGGATAGTTTGTTAGAGTTGTGCGAGTAAACCAGTATAATATATATATATATAATATATATATTATTATATATATATATATATATATATATATATATATAAACATGCAAAAACACGTAGATAAGTGCATATTTATCTATCTATCTGATGTGCATTTATCTATCTATCTATCTGGTAGATATTATCTATCTATCTGTCTATCTATCTGATATGCATCTATCTATCTATCTATCTGATGCATTTCTCTATCTATCTGGTAGATGATATGCATTTCTCTATCTATCTGATATGCATTTCTCTATCTATCTGATATGCATTTCTCTATCTATCTGGTAGATATGCATGTCTAGACTGATAGATACGTATTAATAGATACGATTAATAGATTAATAGATTGATAGATACGTATTAATTTCTGTGTATATGCAAGTCCGTTTAATTAATATTCACTCGGTCTCTCCTACTTACTAGTTTTAGCATATTGAAAAATAATAAAAAAGAAAGAAAAAATAAATAAATAAGGTCTAAAAGGAACTCAAGACTGAATTAAAACTAAAAGGGATTGAAAACAAACTGAACGAATTTGGAATTAAAAGAAACTTTAAAACTAGATTAAAACTAAAGAGAAGTGAAGAAACTGAACTAATTTGGAATTAAAAGAAACTTTAAAACTGAATTAAAACTAAGAGACTAAAACAATTGGAAATATAGAAAGAGAGAAACTAGAACTAAATTGAAATTAAAAGGAACTAAAAATAAATTGAAACTAAAAGAAAACAATCCTTGAAAAATAAATAATAACTAAAATAAAAAAACTAATTAAAACAATAGAAATAAAAGCTAAAATAAAATAAAATAAAAAATAAAACATGATTTAAAAACTAAGTAAAAAAACTGAAACTAGAACTAAACTAAAAGTAGAAGGGAAGAAACTTAACTAAATGAACACTAAAGAAAACATGAAACTTAAATGAAAACTAACGAAACTGAAATTAAAACAAAAACTAAAAAGAAACTGAAACTAAATTAAATCTTAAAAAAAAGAAAGACAGAAAGAAACCAAACTGAATAAAAAAAAAATATATAAATAATATAATAATAAGAAAATAAGACGATTTTTCCCGTTTTTTCTTTAACTTATTTTCCTTATTAATTTTCATTTTTTCATTTATTTATTTATTATTATCATCATTATTATTATTATTTCTTTTTATAAGTTGCAGAAAAAAAAATAATATTACACATAATAAGGATTTTTATTCTTCCCACCCTCAGCATCCCTTTCCATACTGACGATAACAATGCTTTTCGAAGATGAATCACGTGCGTCATGCCTCTGACCTTTTGACCTTTCCAGAATCGGCGCGGGTAGGGGGCGTGGTCAAGAGCATGGTGGGCGTGGCCGGACATGACGTCACGCTGCCCTGTGCCCCGACTGGGAACCCGGATCCGCAGGTTAGTCGGGTCGCGTTCTTATGAGGTGGGATAGATATATGGAAGAGGATAGGGATGATGATGTGGTAGATAGATGGAATGATGGATGGAATGGATGGATAGATAGATTGGATAGAGATGGAGGGTAGATAGATGGATAGATGGATGATGGATGGATATGATAGATGGTAGGGGATAGATAGATAAACAGATGGATAGATAATGGATTGACATGATGGATGGATAGATGGATGGGTTAGATAGATAGATATATGAGATAGATAATGATAGATGAGAGAGATGATGATAGAGAAATAGAATAGAAAGAAAGAGATGAGAGTAGAAGAGAGAAGGGAGAGAGAGAGAAGAGAGAAAGAGAGAGAGAGAGAGAAGAGAGAAGAGAGAAAGAGAGAGAGAGCAGAGAGAGAGAGAAGGGAGATAGAGAGAGAGAGGAGAGAGAGACAAGGTAATAAAATATTTAAATACATAAAGAAATAGATGGATAGCAAGAGCAATAGTGGATAGGTAGACAGATAAGTAAATAGATATAT